CGTCGGCGGCCCATTCGTAGAGTAGGCCGATTCGTCATAGGGCAACTCGTCGAAGGAAAACTCGTTGAAGAGGCCAGCTGGTCGTCGCTATTTTAAAGTTAAAATATATAATTTATGCCTTCAAACATCAAAGTAAGTCGTGATAGTAATCCGTGAAATCGCCGCACGGTAATGTACTTACGGTGTTCTCTTGTCGAAGATAAGAATTTCCCGCTTTTACCGCTTTTCGTGTGCACTGGGGAACGGTCGCTACGTCACGCGTGTATCACTGGGGCGCATGTTAACCTACCCGACCCACCCGTTCACGGCGCTTCTCGGCGACAGTCTGCGGCAGATACAAAAATGTCAACCCACCTATCCACCCGTTCAAGCCGCTTCTCGGCGAGTCTGGGACGGCTCATTACAAAAAGTAATAAAAAAAAAAGGACGATTCCGTGATGACACATTCCTCAACTTCTCTCAAGGTTCTGTCCTGTCTTCACATTTTTGTGATTTTTCTTTGTCTTATAACCTAACAAGGGCGCTGTCCCTAGTCCAAACACCAATAAATATTTAGGTCAAACAATAACAACTACGAATTCTAGCCGAAGAAGCCGTGCAGCACAACAGAACCCTTCTCCCACAACTCGCAGTGCGTCACACTTCCTTGCAGATGCAGCAGTCTGACGCTCCGACGTTTCACTGCAAGTCACCGCAGAAGGCGGTTTTCGTTTACGCTGAGGTCTTTGGTTTTCTCTTCGTCAACACTGAAAGCAGGGAGAAAACGCACCCCTCTGCTGTGCCCCCTCAGCGGGAGATCAATTATTCCCCCCATGCCAACGCAACTCCAGAAATACAGCGTTTCAGTCCAACCCCCCCCCCCCCACCCCCTTTCTTTCCTTCCTCAAAACCGGATGCACCAAAGTGTCGAAGACGTCTTCCAAAGACGAGGCATCACTGCGAAGGGAACGCACAAGAGCAGAGGCGCCTTCTTCGAGTCAACCGACTTCCAAGAACGCGGGGAGACAACATGACCAGCTTTCGTGTTATTGTAGATTCCCTCGCTTGCTCTTCCAACCCCCCCCCCCCCCCCTCCCAGAAAAAAATAAATAAATAAAGAAGCTTTTTAAAGGCGCCGCAAGCAAGGACAAGTTCTGGTAGGGGTCAGGCGCGGGGGAAGACCCAGAAATACAAAAGCTGCCGCTTCGGCTGTATTCAAACGCGAGTCTTCCAGCCGTCAAACTGCTTACAGGAAAGGATACTGGAGGAGGGAGGCAATGTATGCTCGAGGAAAGAGAGGAGGAAGAATGGGGGTGGGAATGGTGAGCAGAGGACAGGCTGTGGCGGGTTGATCCTCTTTGGTTGCGGTCGGCGGGATAGGCGTCTCTGAAGAGTCTTCCTTGCTCTGAGGCGGGTGAAATTGAGATTGGCTCCGCTTTCATTGAAGTTTCTTATTCTTCTCTTGGAGGGGGAGGCTGTTTCTTTCCGAAGCTGACAGTTGCGGATGGGTGATCTGTTTTCTGGAAGAAGGGTCGCGCCGCCTTGGTCAAAGGCTCGAGTTTACCCCAGAAGACTCCGGCCTGTGGGTTTTAGTGTCATCGCTAAATTTGTTGCAGTGGACTGGTATCACTTTGGAAGATTGGCTGAGGCGCTTCTAGCCATCACAGGCAATTCGGGGCTGTAAACGTGTTACTGGCACTGCGCCCCTTCAGAAGGTAATGTAACACTTACGTGGCGTTCGATTGCCCTCGATCGCTCTCAGCGTCCTCTGCGGTGCCTCGTCGGGTGAAACGGAGTATACTCGACATAAACGAAGCTCACATCATAGTAGTAAAGTATTTATTTATGGTCATCGGAGCTATTGAAAAAAAATAACCGAAACTTCCTGCTGCCTCGTAATATCGAACAATATACCTTTCCGGAAAATCCTAGGAGACCTTGCAACGAGGGGAATTCAGGGCTGTTGCACTGTAAGCTCGTGCCGGCTCGAACGCTTCTAATATACTGGCATCGACACGATTCATCCGTTCCCACCATTAAAAACTAAAAAAAAGAAAAAAAAAGCGAACGGAAAAGAAGGTCGTTACATACTCTGTTTTGCTTTCCTTCTGCCTCGTCTGCGTTTTGAAATAACGAACTGTAAAACCAACTTCAATTTCGTCGTCGCTTCTTGGATAATTTCACGTGCCGTATATCTGAACGTTATAATGATTAAAGCAGACGCTGGGGGCAACAGATATTTCTGTAAAGGTGTCTTGGGTTCCGATGGTTGAAGATTGTCACTTCTATGTTACTGGATACGGGTGCCACTGGTCACGATTTGTCAGGTGTTGAAGATAAAAGGAACGAAAAAATACAATGCTGAGAGAGACTAAAGAAAAGTCGCACAGGGGATGTTTGGGCGGTAGGACAGAAAGCTGTAGGCACTACGCGTACAAAACGGGGTAAAACTGTTGACGCTACTTCTGCGAACATGTTAACTGGTCGATTTCAAGCCACTCCCCCGAATCGGACGTCCAAATTGATCGTCCGTGCTTTCTGATATCGTCAAGCGATCTTCTATGGTCACTGGCAAGGGGAGAGTGGCAGGTACGAACTTCACTTGGTCCCAACTCCAGCGCGAGCTTCCCACCTTGACAACGCTGCGGTATTTCTTGCACCTCGCCCAGCCAGAGCACGACGGAAGGCATAAATTGCCTGCTGCGGACTGGGGCGTTCAAAAGACACGTTCTCCCTCTGTCGGTGATTGTAGCCATGCCCATTTGGCATCTTGTATTTTTCTTTAGGCTAAATTTCGCTTCCACATGCTAATGCGTAGATGACCTTTGCTTTTTTTTTTTTTTTTTTTTTCTTGAAACAGCCAGGTCTGCCTGCCTGGACCGGAAGGAGCGTTGACAACTTTAGCCCCACGGAAACGAAACTGTCGGAAAAATGCAATTTAACCACCGGATGGTTGCCGCATGGCCACCTTATGCGCCTTTCCCTCTCGTTTTGAGTTCCAAGACAACTTCCGAACCAAAAGGCGAACTGCCACCCCCCTCAACTTCTGACCCGGGGCAACAGGAAAAGAACGCAAAAAGCAGAACACTTATTTTTATTTTTTACAACTTTCTTTTTGTCTGCTTGTCAGTAGCGAAAGAACAGGAAACGTCGAACGTCTTCCAGACGTTTTTCACTCGTTAAAACAATCTATCCGAACAGTTCCCCTCCGATAGTCATGCTCGGGAACGCATTTTGAGGCCCTCGTACTGGCGACTCGTTCCTTCCCAGAAAGGTCCAAGACAAGACGGACTGCTTCTTTGCCAGCTGCGTTGCACCCACGTGGTGTCCTCTCCACTTTCCTTTATCTTTTCTTTTTATTCGCACGACTAGAGCCTGAAGGGAATTGGTGGAAGAGAAGAGGTGGAGGGGAGGGGTGGGCTGGACCCCTAAAGACACGAAACGCTTATAGACCTGCTGCCAGGGTGGTCTTTGCGGTACTCTTTTTTTTTTTTTCTTTTTAAGGTTTTGTCCGCGTGAGAGTGTACCCTTTCCCGCCTTCTTTTTTAGTTCATTAGTTGCGTAGTTTTCCTCTATGCAGTTTATCTTTTTAAAGATGAAAGATTGGAATCCTTGTCTTTTGGGGCGCTAAAAGTTTTGGTTGCGCCCTTTTACATTGAGTTTAAAGAGAATGTAGCCCATTCCATGCTGCCATCAAATAACGATCGAGGCAACTCTCGCGGCGAATCTTTGGGAGGTTTCCTGTTGTCGTTGAAATCTGTCGCAGTGAGCAGATTTTAAATTTCATACGTACATTTCTTAGATTTCAAACAATGAACAGGTGACAGAGATTCATCCGAGACTTGCCCGGACCGGCATCCAACAATACCCCAAGAAATGTACGACGAAATGATGGCGATCTTTTGTGCATCGGCTTCGAACGCCACCCGGCACCTGGTTCGCGTTTTGATGAACGTTCCGCCGTGTACGCGAACGCCAAGCGCCTCTGCGTGAAAAGATGGCTACCGAAAAGATAAGCAACGCTGGGCATGACATCTCGAGTTTCCTGCTTCGGGAATTATTTCTAAGCATCTTTATCGCCCCGTGTGGTAATCTCATTAGCGGTGGAGCGACAGTGAGATGCGTCTCACTGGGCCACTGAGACGCATCTCATTCTCCCTCTGTCGGTGATTGTAGCCATGCCCATTTCGCACCTTGCATTTTTCTTTAGGCCAATAGCCTGCCTTTCTTCAGCTGTCGGTGACTGGAGTTTTCCATCTAATTTCTCGTCGATATTGCACCTAAAGTTAGACATCAATATGTAGGTGGTCAATAAACGGTGTACCCTAAGGCGTATATTATTTTGTAGAAATCTTTTGGGCGGCTGCGACGGGTCACTAAGAGCTGAAGTCCCAATAAATTGGGTTCTGATGTCAGACACGGCGAGAACACGATCTCCGCTCTTCAAACATGTGCGGCTACGTTGATCCATACAAATAAGCCTAACCAGGCTCAGATTACACGCGTGTAAATAAGTTGGCCACGGGTAATTTGGTACCTACATCTCGTACATGAGTATATAAGAAACATCCGATACCTGACGATGAGAAACTTATTAATATGTTCGTCATCTGTTTTAATACCTAGCTTTAAAACTGTAGTTCGCTTTAGCACTCCTACCTCACCTTATAAACTTCGATGACTGCTGCCACGTTTTCGACCACCCAGCCGTCTTCCTTGAACTAACCCGAGGCGGCGAAATCTCCTCCGCGCTCGGTCCTTCTCGGGGAACGAAGTGATACGAGAGAAAAAGGAGACAGAAACCAAAAAGGGAAGACCTAGACAAACTTCTACTTTTCGTCCTGCCATTTTCTGCTAGGTCGTCTAGCCCCCTCGCGCCCCCTCTCTGTGGTGGGAGGACCACGAGGAAAAGGAGGAAGAAGAGACACACGGGGTGGGGGGAGCTTTCCTGTCAGTAGGGTACGACGGGGCTGCGAGTGCTTGCTGCGATGGAGCACAGTGCGCGCGCACACACAGCGCCGGCAGTGGGGTGCCCAGATTGCCGGCTGTGGGTCGTGCCTAGTGGTCAGGATATGGGGACGCTGCTCCGTCTTCCGACTTCGCTGTCTGCAGCCTTCCCGTCTGACGCGCCGAGCCGGACCTGGGGGTACACTCGGGAAGGTGAGTCCGCCTGCACATGTTTGACATTTCTGGACCGCCGGGAGGACGCAAAGAATCTCACTTGGATATTTTCGCTTTTCTTCGTCCGGCTTCATGTTTTGTTCGTCTTGGTTCATGCTCCGAGCACCTCGTCTCGGATCTGGCGATAGTGGGGATGGAAGTGCGGTTTCTCTTGCTCATTTTTTTCTTTTTTTTTCTGTTCCGAGCAGTTTGGCGTGCGTTCGAAATGTAAGCTGGTCGGTAACCAAACTTTTTTTCTTTTTCTTTCTGGTTTCCAAGTAAATATTTGTTAAGCCCCATTTGGCTTTATCTAGAGTTTCCTGTCGAGTGACAGTTCTCGAAACCGGGTGCGTATCGCGGAACGCTGCATGTTGTGGCAAAGATTTGCAGCAGACTAGCCGTCATACAAACATTTCCTAATCTTGCATCAGTTCAAGACGCATGGTAAAAAAAAAATATATATATATATAGACATAGGCTTTGGTGTTAATTATGGATGCAGAATGTGGTTTCTCTGCTTACGCTCTATGCGGGATTATTTTTGTATTAGTCAGGATTCGTTCTAAAGCCTTCCTCGATTTTATTTTTATATTGTCTTTCGAATGGCTACTCCGGGTGGTTTAGAGGTGTGGCATTTTCAAGATCGGTCGGGTGTACCCGCATTCTTGACTCGCGCATGCGCATTACGCGTATGTATTTTTTACTTGCGCGTTTGTGCGTACGACCTTGCATACTGCCTGCGTTTCGTGGCTGTTGCTTTCATTTCACTGCCGCATTCCCGAAACGGAGGAACTACCGGGAACATGCAACGCATTCCTGACCGCATTCCACAACATAGCCTTGTCCTTTCCGCCGATGGCAGTACGCGGTTCGGTGACTATGATAACCTCCATGAATTTCTGAGAGATCTGGACCGAAGCGCGGTTTTCATTACAGACATTGTATTTTCACACCCTTGAATCCCCCTCACTGTTTACTTTCCTCGCGTTTTTTTTTTTTTTTTTTTTTTTTACTGCCAACATCGAGGGAGAGAGAGAGAAGGGTTCGATGCTGGATTCAAATACTAACACCTCTGAATTTTGTAAAAAGATTGTTCATTTTGCTAATGAGAGAATTTGGTTTGCACATTTCAGAAACTCTAAAAACTCCTATTGTCTCAATTGTGTTTTACTGTTTGTATTCTTTTTTTTTTTAATAAAACTGTCAGATTGAATTACAATCCTCCTTTGCGTGATATTCCTCGGGGTAGAAAGATAAATGTATAATAAAGCGATAACATCATCCTCGTCCCTAGTAAAGTGATTTTCATGCCAGTCATGCAAATTGCCTTACAGTGATACGTTTGAGGCCGGAACAGATTAGCGTTTGTCGTAGTTTTCCCTTCCTCCGGACACACCACATGTTTGACAAGATTTACCGGTCACTATGTGGAGTAAACGGTTACCGCACCCTAAAATATCCAGTCCGTCTGCTTTCCCGCAGAACACTTGGGAGAGCCGATCTCTGCGATCTCGGACTTCAAACAACAGCCTGCGCTGTGACATTGAGCACGTGCTTGCGTCATACTGAGTGTCACAGCGCTCACTGATTTAACGTGAAACATTCTCCGTCTCGTCAAGGGGGCGAAGCTAAAAAAATATCGACCGCGGAGCTCGACGTTGATTGGCTGGTGGAAAGGTAACATAATCAACGCGGATTGGCTGATTCCAGTGAGTATGGGAGTCCTTGAAAACCGCCATGCTTTAAAAACCCGATTCTACTTCGCTTCGCTTAAGTGCACACGCGGCCGGCGCTGCAAGCTAATGGCACCAATCAGGCATGGTCAAAAGCGCACCATCATGATGTTTGTCATGTTCCTGTACATGTTCTATCGTCGCTGAACCAATCATAAACAAAAAGAAAGTCCCAATGACTTGCGCTTTGGACGCTGGTTGATCGGTGTGATAGCCTCGTAGTGTCGGCTGCTTTTGGACTCAAGCTGAAGCAAAGTATAGCGCCGGTCTCTTAATTCCAGGAACTGCTATCAAGTCTGCGTGTCACGCGTTAAGCTACCCGTTGAAGAGCGCCGTGAGCGTATATGCGCCGTGCTCGGTAACGTTCCGGAGCGATACCGGAAAGTTTCACGATTAACAGAATTGCCCGGCAGTTGGTCACGCAACACATTTCGAGCCTCGTCCTCGGCCGAGCTCCCTCCGTAGATCGCACCGATCGGTTCTCCCGTCTGCTTGGCGGGGAAGCAGACTCTTGGCGCCCGCCTATTTCTTACGCCTCACGCAACTTTGCTACCTCATTTTTTGATAGCTTTGTTTAGGGTTCATTGAAGTCAACGAAGAAAAACCCTGAAGATAGACAGCTAAATTTGGTATATTCGCACTCCTGAAAATTCGTTTTTTTTTTTTTTTGGCATTATATTTTTTTACGAGCCTTCAAAGTTGCTGTAGACGATTCAGCCGGTGAGTTTTGACGTTTCAAGGTCGTTGCGAAAATTCGATTTGGCTGCATGCGCTAGATGTCACAGCTCCTGATCGTACATTAATCTTCCCGCTGGTTCAAATCGCGCGTCACAACAGATATGTCCTTAGTTAATATTCCTTCGAGTGAAAACGGTAAAGTGTCTAATATCCCTCGTAGAGAGCTTGTGGGCAACCTGGGGATTCCAAGCGTTTGGCCCAGGTTGCCCCTCCGACAATCATCGGTGGTCACCTTCACCAAGGGCAACTGGCCACACGAGCGGCGCCCCGCCGCTGATAAAGGGCCGTCGCAGCGTATTTCGCGGGGGCTTTTGGGAGTAGCGGCGCGGGTGGTAACAGTTAATGACTACGTGTTGTTGAACCGGTGCGTTCTGTCATTCTCCGAGACGGGTAGCAGCGAGGGAAATCCCGCAAGATTAACTCCTTTATACCAGGAGACGTATTCCAGGTATCCAATACTTTTCAAATGCTTCGTTACCTCAGGCGTATATACAGTCTCAAAGATTTGGTTCCCCTTGATATCTTTGCGTGTTCTTTGAGTGTCCTTCGCAGGCATACCTCGGGCAATATAGAAGTTTTCATGGATACTATACCATTTTGCTAGTATGGACTTTTTAACATAAGTTGCCGTAACGTAGAAATTATACGCCTCTCATAGTATTACGTTATCTTATTGTGATATGTAATATTAGAATTGTATTTATTTTCACATTAGAGCGCTGTAGTATTCGCTCGTAACAATGAGTTTATCTCCGTCCTCAGTTGATGGCGGCGATCCAAGAAAAAGAGCTGTAGCGTACAGCTTGACGTGTCCTCGACCATGTACGACTCGCAGAGGCAGCCGCAAGAGTGAGGGAGACAAAAAAAATGCATACATATGCGTAATCAGATATTACGATAAAAATGTATTACAAATGCTCATAATTAGAAGAGAAGAGATCGAATATCCTGTAGTGACAATTTATTCACTTCCATATTTTTAAAAACATAGAGTTAAAAAAAAAACAAAAAAACTCGGAACGATATATTTTAGCATTTGTGTTCCAAATTTGTTCTTTGTGTAATCGCCCCCCCCCCCCCCCCCCCCCCCCCCCCCCCCCCAGTATTCAGCGTGATGGATAGGGTAAACATTGACATTCTTTGAAAGCTCTCCGAGTTTCTTTGAGAGGTCCGTGTTTCTAGTTTCCTGAAATTTTAAGCTCATGCTAAGTCTATGGTCATTCATCGAATGCAGATTGATAACAGGGAACTTGTTAAAAAGGTGAGCTACGTCAGAGTCATATTGGAGGCTATAGTCCTCAGTGTTTTTTTCTGGAACAGGCGCAATGGCAATATATTCTATCATAGACTTATAATATTCCATCCAAGTGTTAATCTATGTGTTAATACTGTTGGTTGTGCGAGTTGCTGAAACATGATACACCAGCGCGCAGGTAGATAAATCCGAGCACGCGAAAAATACGCTCACAGATTGCTGAACTATCAATTCTACGCATTGGTTCCTCAGCATATTGGTATTGCTCTGTCTTAATTGTTGTTTTCGTCCAACATGGTGGTATTAAATTTGTGCTTATCTGAGACGTGCGTATTTTGTCAATAAAGTAGTATTATATCCGCTTATTCGGATGTATACACGTCTTTTAGAATGTATTCTTTATAGTATTCTATACAATTGTCATAATATTAGCATGGGCTACAAGCCAGACGAAAATCTCGTTAATGAGTGCCGGAAGAGGAATAGATACTTCCTCATTACGCATGATTATAAAGCCACGCGCTAATCCGGTTCCTCGTCGCCCCTGTGCTTCCGTGCTGTCTTTGAGGACACTTCCTCTTGAGAAGATTCAGCGCGTCGTCAAGCGAAGGACACTTTTTCGGTTTGGCAGGCAGCCTAGACTTACTCCGGGACAACCTACCCCCGGGTCGATAGTGGTGGCCCAGACGAAGAGAGGGAGCCGTCGCAGATTGCCGCGTATCCATCAAAAGGATGCCTCGTGTCCCCCAACGGGGGGCCTCCGAGTCCCTGTTTCCTCCGCTCGCTCCGAACCCGAAGCTACGTGCTCGCCGCACCGATCGACTGCCTCCCTTTAATCACGTGACCCCCCCTTTTCTCTGCGCGTGGCTACGAGCGGGAAGGTGATCACGCGGTGAAAGATAGGCGTATGACTGGTCCAGCGAGTACGCAGCCTCCACCGCACTGTCAGGGTCGACGAAGCGTAGTCGCCGAGATGCTCCGTCGTCCACTTCATTGTGTGTGGCCCTCCTGCTCAAGGCGGGCCACGGCCGTCTTTTGTCTCCCTAAAGGCATCCATGGCTTCATGGCGGCGCTGTCGAGGCTTCACGGGTGTATCTTTCTATCGGTCTGTATAGAGAACCATCTATAGCTGCAGGTGTTTCTTTCCGGTGAGACCGCCTTCTTTTGTATGGATGTCCTTGTAGATATCGAGCGGTTTTCGCGACGTCTAGAAAGAGAGAAGGGGGGGGGGGGGGGGGGTGTGCACCTTGCGAAGTGATGCTTTTGTGTTCAAG